TGATGGAAAATGCTATCCACATCCAAAAAAAGAACTATGGAGATTAAATGCAGATCAAAACATACTATTCACTATTTTCTTTCTGGTGGTTCCTCCTATTAGTTCTAATTCTTACTTACTTACAACTTACTTACAACATCACTAATGTGAAAATATGTTTAATAAGAATGTATATGTATAGCCTATATTACATTGCATGCCATCTTGGGAAGGGAAGTAGGGAGAGAGGGGGATAAAAATTTAAAACTCAAAAGCTTATGGAAGTGTTTGTTGATAAATGAAAATAAATTAATAAAATAAATGAAAAGTAAGTAACAACAAAAAAGAAATCATAAAAAAATTGCCCAGAACCATAAGAACCATAGGAAAATAGAAAGAATGTACTGGTCAACCCCTGAAAGAAATTGCCAATTAAAAACAACTAGTAATGTCATAATCAGAATCCAGAGCTTCCAAGGTAGAAACTAAAATACTGCAAGTACAGGGACAGTAAGATAGAGGAGTAGAAAGAAGCCTAGCTGCCCCCATAATTACTCAAATAATAATAATAATAATAATCCAAGAAGAATGCTGGATCTTGTAGTTACTGGGGAATCAAAGGAGAAATTACTGAGCATCACCTTTTCAGTCCAAGTGACTTATACGCAAGTGAAAAGAGCCGAATCTATGGGACAAGGTTAACAGGGATCATGGACTCAGGGCCTAGACTTCTAAGTAAATCCAGTAGTGCAGGGATAAGAGCTGACCTTGGACTTGGCTCCCTGCCCAGACCAGCAGCATGGACTCAGTGCCCAGAACTTATTGTGGACTTAGTCTTCTCTCATCAGAGCCAGAATTGCAACCCTGAGAGTTCCCAGCAAGGCCAGCTGGGTTGCCCAGAGCAGAACACTGGAAGAATGATTTAAACAAACAAATAAACAAACAAAAACAGATAAACAGTTATTATTGAGACCAGAGATGCTCAAGACATAAACTAATAAGAGAATAACAATTCCAAAACAGAATACAGCTTGCCCACAGGATCAGTCAGAATTTTTAGAATAAATGACATGAGTTTCTTTACAGAGTTTGAAAGTATATTACAAATGAAATGAGAGTGATGAAGCAGTGAATTAGGAAAAAATATGAAAATGATGGAAAAGAAGCTTGTAAAGAGAATTAACAGCTTAGACCAAGAAGTACAAAGCCTTATCCAAGCATCAGGCTACCTGAAAATTAGAATGGACCAAACAGATGTTAATGACTCCATGAATAAATAAGAAATATTAAAACAAAGTTGAAAGCTTCTAAAAAGAAAAGAAAATGTAAAGTATTTCTTGTCAAAAAACAACTGTCCTAGAAAACAGGTCAAGGACAGATTATTTAAGCATCAGTGGACTACTACTTAAAAACTATGATATCACCATCACCATCAACCCCTCCCCCTCCAAAAAAAACCTTAGGCATCATATTTGAAAAAATTATAAAAGAAAACTGCTCATATCTCTTAAAACCAGAGGGCCAAGTGAACATAGGAAGATGCCATCAGTCACATCCTCAAACAAACTCCAAAATGAAAATTCCAAGGATCATCATAGCCAAAATCCAAACCTTCCAAGTTTAAAAAAAATCTCAAAAAATCCTAACAGACAGTTCAAATACTAAGAAACAGTCAGAATCATATAAGATTTAGCAGCTACTATTCAGTGTTCCAAAAGGCAAAAGATATAAGCTTGATGCCATCAAGAATAAATTATCCAGAAAAACTAACTGTAAACCTAGAAGCATAAAAATTAACCTTTAATGAAATAGAAGACTTCCAAGCATTCCTGATGAAGAGACCAAGGCTGAGTAAAAGCTTGAAATACAAACTTAGAGAAACATGAACACATAAATACAAATTAGCAATCAGTAAATACTTTATAGGAATGAACTGTTTGCATTCTAATGGGGGAGATGGAGGAAATGATACAAGTACCCCCTCAGAGAACAGTAAAGACTCTTGGGGAGTCAAATAGGAGGGAAGTCCTGGCAGTCATTTCCATTAATAAAACCATATACATTTCTGACTTCGAACCATTTGACAGTGACAAAACTTTGGTTCTGAGAACTTTTTTCCCCTGATTTTCCATAGCTGTGGCTGTTGAGGAGGTAGGGCTCTTGCAGAGGCCACTGCAAGTTCATCTCAAAGAATTGCTCTCATGGATGATGGCTGCAGACACCAGGTAGGAAGCAGGACTAGTGGCTTAGAGAGAAAAGGGCAGTAGTATCCCAGAGCTCTTGGGCAAAGGATTGCCAGCTGCTTCCAATAGGATTTAAGGAGAAAGGGTGGTTGAGATGGCAGAAGAATTAAGGAGAGCAATTTGGAATGTTTGCTCTGTTAAAAATTTAAAATGAGGACAAGACATTCATTTCTGGAGCAAAACAAGATTTATTTTGATTATGTTGTAATGAACTGCAAGACAATTCTTTTAGATCATGTTTTACATTTTCAAGTGACAATAAACTATATAATATCTTTTCTACTTCTAGATTTGCTGATGCAAAATCTTCACTACAGGCTAAGTAATGAAGAAGTGTTTGAAGCATTACCTACAAAACCGGCAGCATGGAGTACTTTATTTTTCTAAAGTAGACCTGAGACCATTTTGTAAGTGGAGAAAGAATCTCATTCAGATTTTATATGTTTCAGTTAGAAATTATATGTTTGGCTTAATGTCTACTCCACAACTGTTCTAGGTACCAGCTAACTTAGGAACTCACATTTCTCTCTCTTGAGATGTGGAACTTATGAAACCTTCAAATTTAAAAAAAAAAAAGATCTTTAGAGCTGGAATTATATTTTAAGATTAGCTAGTCTACATGATGGAAAATGCTATCCATATCCAGAGAAAGAATTATGGAGTCTGAATGTAGATCAAAGCAAACTATTTTCTCTTTTTTGTTTGCTTCTTTCTTTCTCTGTTTCTCGTGGTTTCCCCCTTTTGTTCTGATTCTTCGTTCACAACATGATTAATGTGGAAATATGTCTACTTTAAACTCTTAGGACCCAACATATGGCTCATTTCCATAAACTTTTAAAATTTACCAAGTTGATTGGACATTTTGGGACAGGGAGATAATTTATGTCAAATACAGACAGTTTGAATAATTTCTTTTAAGATGAGGGCCTAATTATTCCCCCAGTCCAACACTACATGTGGTAAAGACAGCCAGCCCAGTAGTTATTTATCTATTTGTCTTCCTCTTTTGTCCCTTCTTTTTTCCCAGACGGCTAATCAATCAAAAAGCATTTACTGAGTACCTACTATGTGTCAGGCACTCTTCTAGCTTCTGAAGATACAACACTGCAATTCATGAGGCCCTACCAATGTGCTTTTCATTAGCAACCAGACAATATACTCAGTCCTTTAGAAAAGGGATTTATTCAAGTGGCATAGCAAAAAACAATTGTTACAAAGAATTTCCCACAAAACTTGAGGTGCACTCTCTCACAAATATGCATAATCCATGAGGAGTGGGCAAGAGAGGATAAGAGTAGTAAAATACAATTTTAGTGAGTATAGGGAACACAAGTGTCCAATGAAACAACCCTAGAATAGCAGGACTTAGATAGCTTTTCTTTCTCCGTACTTGCTCCCTGTAGAGCACAGTATCTAGTTACTGTCTATAACTAGACACTAGGCACGAGGTAGTAGAAGTTAACTGTCCAGTCAGCTGCATGGGTTAATCCACTACTAGACAGAGTGGAGCTGTTTGCTTGGCTGTTGAGCTAGCTCTTCAACGGAGTTCATATACTGCTGGGCTAGACTGGATAGTTGCTACTAGACTGGGCCAGGCAGACAGCTCAGTCAAAAAAAGTCTTCATGAGGCATAGCACCTCTGCTAGTCAGGTCAATTCTCTGGATTCTGTAGGTCTGCCCTCCAAAGGGCAGCTGCAATCTTCATCACCTCCAGCCTTTGCCTCACCTGGGTGTTACAGCACTCTTTTAGCTGGAGTGTTACAATGGTTTTCTTTTTTTCCGCCATAAAGGCAGAGACCCTTATCAAGACTGGCTCTTAGAGCTCTTAATGTTCCTCAAAAATGACCCTCCATGTTTTGACTCTGAGAATTTATGCTATCTGTCCCTTACACCTGGAAGGTTCCCCTTCACACCTCTACCTCCTAATTTCCTCGCCTTCCCTTCAAGATTCACTCCAAATCCTACCTTCTGCAGGAGTCCTTTTCTAGATTTCACATTGCGACTGTCTTCCTTCTGAGATGACAAATCATAAGAGCCAGCCTCTTTTCCCATCCTTGCCATAATCAGTCTATACCACAAGCCACTGAAATTATATGTTTGACTCAATGTCTGCTCCACTTAAGTTCCAGGTACCAGCTAACTTAAGAACTCACATATCTCTCTCTTGAAATGTTGACCTTATGAAACTTACAAATAATTCCAGAACTTTAGAGCCAGAATTATATTTCAAGATTATCTAGTCTACCTAATGGAAAATGCCATCCACATCCAGAGAAAGACCTATGGAGTCTGTATATAGATCGAAGCAAACTATTTTCTCCTTTTTGTTTGTCTGTTTGTTTGTTTTCTTTCTTGTAGTTTTCCCCTTTTGTTCTGATTCTTCTTTCACAACATGACTAATGTGGAAATATGTTTAATATGATTATACATGTATAGTTTATATCAGAATGCATGCCATCTTGGGGAGGGGAAAAGGGAGGAAGGGGAAAATTTTAGAACTCAAAATCTTATAAAAATGAATGTTGAAAACTCAAAATTAATTAATAAATTAATCTTAAAAAATATTATCTAGTCTAATACCTTCATTTTAGAGATGGAAAAGTTGAGGCCCAAGACAATCAAAGGATTGTCCACAGTTTCACATGAAGATAGGAGCAAATGTAGGCCTACTCTACACCTAGTTGTAGTAGTCCACTACACTTCTGGGATCAAGAACCTTTCTCCTCCAGTTAAGTCTATACTTCTGTACTCACATTCAAGAAAATGACACAGATCAGGTACATTGAAAACAAATCTTTTTATTGCCAAGCGAATAAAACAAATACAGTACCCACCATTCACAAAGAGGATCCCAGTTGAAGAAACAGAATAAGAGATAGTTAGACCCTGAGGATAACCAGCAAGACACCCATTAATTAGTAAATCCAAGCCTTAGCTTAAACTGAGTGACCTCAAAGACATCTCATCCATGGACTAGGTTATAAGGGAATTCATCAAAAACAATAGAACATGAACCTGTAACAAAAAAAAACAGCGTTATATTATGACATCCAAATCATTTTTCTGTCCTAATCTGTGCATGGGCTCAGAGTCTGTTTGCACCTAGGTTCAATCCTCAATCTATATCCATTGCTTGGGTTCAAAAAGGACCCAGGTCTAGGGATTAATCTGTGGCTTGGTTAAAAAAATTAATCTTTTCTTGGGGAAAAAAAGGGGAAATCACAAGAAAGGCTCAGTCTATAACCAAGTTTAAGTCTTAGCCTGTAGCAAAGATTACAATTAGATCTGGGGCCAGACACAGAAATCAGTCTGTGACTAGAGTTGAGACCCATTCTGTAGCTATGAAACAAAGACATCAACAGATTCATACTAGAATGGAAAGTTGGCCCCATTAGTTCTAATCACTGGACCAACTAGCCAGAACTTCTGACCATCACTGTGATGAGGGATGAAGATTCTGTGGTCCCTTGAGATAAGTGGCCTTTCTTCTTCAGGGCTTTGTGAAGAAAGTAAGGTATTCTTACTTGTTAGGTGGGACAGAATAGAGTATTCATAAGAGTGAATTCAAAGGAACATCCACACTGGTAGCAGTTGGAAGTTGGTCTAGAAGAAAACACAAAGTGTAGATCTAAATTTCTGAAATTAGGAGATAATTATTTGATAAATTATATCCTAGAGCTACAGTAGCTCTACAGTCTGGTTTAGGGAGAAAGTCTGAGAGCAAGACCATCGAAATCACTAAATGATTAGTTGACCTTGAACTTTATCAGTGAAAGCTCTCTGTCTCTGTCTCTGCCTCTGTCTCTCTCTCTTTCTGTGTGTGTGTGTGTGTGTGTGTGTGTGTGTGTGTGTGTGTGTGTGT